GCGGTACAGTCATAGTCCTGCTGCTAAGCTAACATGCTAACTTCACTCTAGAGCGGTACAGTCATAGTCCTGCTGCTAAGCTAACATGCTAACTTAACGCTACAGCGGTGCAATAAGTAAAAGTTACCGGCTGAACAAACTTGTTCTTACCATGGTTGAACACCGAGCAGCGTTGGTAAACTCTGAAAACTAACACCAACTGCTAACTACTAACTCCTGACTGTCATGGCAACGCGGTGACGTGGTCTTTCTTCTTCTAATAAATCTTTATTGATAATAAAATCCGGACATTTACAACGAATGAGAGAATGTTGAAATAAATGATTGAAATAACCAAACAACAATTAATAAATATAATTAATAAAGTTACCCTTAAATATACAATTATGATTATTTTTTTAAGTTGTAAAAACAAAGCAGTCCACAAATAAAACAATTAGGTTGATTAATTAATTAGTCCAAGAGAAATGTGTTGTTTTTTGGTTCATTGTTTAGGTCTTTTTTTTCTCTCACTCTTTTTTTTTTTTTAGCGAAATTCTACTTAGGCAGCAGCTTCTCTGTTTATTATGGTAAAACCTAGGTAAGGTAACATTAATATTTAAATCATGTACATTTATAGGGCTGCATGGCGGCTCTGTGGTTAGCACCGTCACCTCACAGCTAGAAGATACCCGGTTCATCCGGGTTTGGACGCCAGGGATCTTTCTGCGTGGAGTCTCCATGTTCTCCCCGTGCAGCGTGGGTTCTCTTCAGGTTCTCCGGCTTCCTCCCACAGTCCAAAACCATGCTGAGGTTAATTGGTGATTGGTGCTTGGTTGTCTCTGTGTAGGCCTTCCATAGGCTGGTTACCTGTCCAGGTCAACTGGGACAGGCAGAGAATTTTTTGGAAAATGACACCATTTGTTAATTTTGAAAATTAATCAAAGAAATAAAACTTTTTTCCTTTCTCTCTGGAGTCCTGTTGACAGAAGACATCTCTGAGTTCTCTGTCCTTCTTCATGTTGTTCTGGCTCCACAGAGCTGCAGGACTTTATGTTGCAGAGAAACATGAACCTCAGTGAAGAAACATGAGACGGAAGCAGAAAAAAACCCCAGAAACTTTTCAGAGTTCAGATGTTCATTTTTAGTTTTACTGTGAATCTTCATGTCTTGACTAAATGTCTTTGAACTCTGGAGGCAGAATCAGTTTTCAGTGTTTTTTCTGTGGGTGAAGAGCTGGTTTTTATTGTTCAGTCTAACAGTGAAGTTCCCTTCAGAGGAAATGATTGGCTGCTCAGCTCTATTCCACAGGTCGACCCTCACTTCGCCAGTTTGGTCTGAAAAGAATAAAAAAGACAGAGTGAGTCCGGGTTAAATCACTCAGAGTACGGAAAACATGGTTCTGCTCGGTTGCAGATTATGTTCACCGATTTGTTTTTTTGGGATCCAAAACTGAGTTCTGTCAAATATTGTGGCTGAATTTTTTTGGGAGGGGAATTTCACATGTTCATTATCTCCAAAAATAAAACTCCAACAGCCATGAAATCCGGTGGAGACTCAGACAGAACAGTTTCCACCAGAACGATTGAATGGATCCAGCAGAAAACACATTTTTAATTATTGGTCCTTGAAAATGGAAAAAAAAAAAACCTGCATGCTTGGAGTTGGTGCTTGTCTCCTTGTAGGTGTTTTGTGTTTGTGGTTCTTTTTATTTTTATTTTTAAGAACCCTGATCACATCTCATGGTCTCTTGAGATCAGTGGATGGAGTTTGATCAGTTGTCATGGAGATAACCATCTTTATGGCGAACTGCTCAGCTTCAGGACAACTGAGCAAACTCCATTTGGGGATGAGGATGATGAAATGCAGGTGGGAGTCTGAAAAAAGGCTCACAACACCTGGACTTAAGGTTGTTTTGATGAAAAGTACAAAAGTACTAATGAAAAGCAAAGTACTGTATTGTCACATTAAAGCTTTTTTCCTCACTGCACTTTCAGCTTTAAAGCTTCAAAGTGAAGTGAAGAACACCCCACCCTGTGTGTGTGGAGAACCCCTCCTCCTCCTCCAGCCAGCCTGCAGAGCCTCAGCGTCTCAGGAATAATCAGGACTTTCTAACATCCTCCCCTTCCAGCAGGCGGTGGGGTTTCAGTCGGGGGGACGCTGACAGGTGGACGTCTGAGAGTCCCGTCTAATCTGGGAAAAAGGGACTTACTAGCGTCTTCCTCGGCCTGTGGGAAGACCATGGCTCTCCCAAGGATCTGTCGGGAGTCTTTGCTGGTGCTTTTGCTGCAAATGGTGCTGATTTGCTCGGCTCAGGTGAGAAATAGGTGTCTGTTGTTTTTTTCCTCTCCTGCTAAAGCCAAGCTTGAATGTTCCGATAGTGCTGCTGTAGGTGCCTGTCTGTGGTGTTCACTCATGGATGTATGAACAACCTTTTGCATTTTGTGGTGTGTTATTTCCAGTGCAGTACAATTTGTTTTAAAAAATCTTCTATGGCAGCATGTTGTTTAGTTGTAATGACGGTTTCAGATTGTGTGTTGCTCTGTATTGAGCAGATTTTACTGAACCGCACAGAACTTGTTTTTCACTTTCTTCCACTCTATTTTTTGTCATTGTTTTTAGTTTTGTTTTTTTTAACCTAAGCATAGCTTCGTCAAAGCCCTTACTGTTATTTTCAAGGCTCTCTTGTATACCCTGTTAACATACACAGTATTGAAGAGTAGCCTACTCTAACTTATGCTGGAATTTTGTTCCCCCCCCAACAACATATAGAAATGAATGCTTTCTAAAGGCATCATTTACAAAAAAAGGTTTTATTTTAAGTCCATCCCAGCCTGAACACCTGGGTCCAATCAGGCCCAGACAGCTACAGTAATCTGAACACAGTTCCTCGGTCAGTATAATGGGACTATAATGGGACACCAGGTTTGGTTTCATGACCTTTCCCCTCACGTCAGCCAGACAATGGGACCCTGTGTGAGCCGCCCTTCACACCAGCAGCAGCTCTGGATGATATTTGGAGATGGAAAACTGATTTTTGTGTTTGTTTTACAGAGGGGCCCGGTCGGTCCCAGGGGCCCCCCAGGACCGCCCGGGATAGCCGGTGTGCCCGGAGTGGATGGCATTGATGTGAGTGTGCATTTGTTTTTTCTTCTCCATCATAAACATTGGTCTTCAGATGTGGGTCACGGTGTAGCTGTGGTCCAGTTCATTTCTGGGTTAATCATCTCAGTGAACAGTGAAGCCAAACAGCAACTGTTTAAACAATGATGCTCTTCTGAAACAACACGACTATCTGGACTGCAGTCATCTGCAACACAAGCAGGGATTTTAGATGTGTTGTGTGTTTTTCTGTGCGTGGTTGTTGGCCTTCTATCAGACTGACTGATCTGCTGTGAGATTTTCATTTAAAAATACACGCCTCCCTTATAATCTGTATGTGTTAATGGTTGGGAAACAGATTTATTTTTGTGGTTTTTGTGTTAATTCCAGAGCAAAGAAGGTGTATCTTTTACCTCTAGGTCCTCTACTTCTACAGTCAGTACAGAAAAGACAGGAAATGAGTGAATGTTTATATTTTATAAACTCAAAAAGGAACCATTAAGAAAACCCTTTACAAGGTGATACGATACATCTTATAAAACAATCGTTAAGCAGACACAGAAACACGTACTATATCGAAGTATCTGTGGCTAACACGTTACTTCCACCTGAACATTTCCTTCTTGTGTCTTCAGGGCGACAGAGGCCAAGACTCCACAGTGACCGGAGGACCAGTGAGTCAGCTTTTCATTTCTTTTTCCACATGCAGAAGCCTATGTTGGATGCTAACTTTGGCTCCATGAACTAAAATCTGACTTGATGTTAAATCTTCTGCTTCCAGGGCCCTGATGGGGACAACGGCAAAGACGGGGCTCCTGGAGCTCCAGGCGTTCCAGGGGCAGATGTAAGTGAAGCGTGACTGACGGTACCAGACTGGTTGAATGTTCACCTACTACTCACATTTTACAGCGAGCGGTCTCTGTTCCCAAAACTGTTTAAAGAAACAACAAAAGATTCAGTTGAGCTTTGAACCTAGCAGCTGCCTTGATCAGCAGTTGGGTCTTAAACCCTCCAATAATAGGATGTATTGAATCTCAGTAAGATCTGAGCTGCATGACTTGAGATATTCAGATGTGCTGCTGTGTGAGCAGTTTGTCTTGGCCTCCAGCGAGCAAAAATGTTAGGAAAGAAGAAAAAAAAAAGGCCCTTGAATAAATCAATCTGGCTATTTAGGGGAGAGTCTCAAATAGCTTCCTGACAGAAACAGGGGTCTTTTTGTGCGCGACTGAGGGGAGTGCAGGGGGATCGGCTGCCCAGAGATGGCTGACAGGAGAGAAGTGTATGCTGGGAAAGGTGGTGCAGAATGGTCTCAGTGTGCTTCCCGTCTGCTGTGGTGATGGTGCAGAGAACAGGCGGAGAGATTCATGTGGACTGAAACAGAGAAAACCTACAAACTGCACCAAAGTTTGCAACACGTTTGCAGAGTTGTTCTTTGAGAAATTAAATAAACGGACAGAATGAAAACAGTTACCTATAGAGCGCAGACCAGAATATTAACCGTTCATAGGGTCGCGGGGGGCTGGAGTCTATCCCAGCTGAGTCAGAGTGAAGGCAGGGGACACCTGGACAGGTAACCAGTCTATCACAGAGAGACAGACAACCAAGCACACTCACATTCACACCGACGGACAATTTAGAATCACCAATTAACCTCAGCATGCCTCGTTCATTTTTAGCCATTGTTTGGTTTAAGGCGTGTCTGTTTTCTTGCTCTCACTGATGCCTTCTAGCAGGTGGAGAATGTTTAGGGGGTTAATAATGGAAAGGAGCTACAGAATGGAAGAACGGTCACACCCTCCACCAATGAGCAAAAACAGAGAAAATCTCAGTCATTCTAATAATGATCTTGATTTTTTACAACCAGGCCTATTGGTTGGTTGTTTAGGACATGATTCCTAATAGTGTCTTCTAGCACAAAAAATTGAGGTTGTCCAGTCTGTTTCTAGTTCCACTCTGACCAACGCCACAGTGGCTAAACATTGCCGGAAAACAAAACATTGACTGTGAACATCTTACTCATACTTTCAAACGTTTTTGCAACTTCCCATTTACATTTATTCACATTTTCTCATATATACACAGAGAGAGAGAAAGCAGAGAGTAGAGTCAGGTTCTAACTATGAGCTTCATTACAAAGCAAAGTTTTAAGCCTAATCTTAAAAGTATAGACAGTGTCTGCCTCCTGAAGTGGATCTGGAAACGACTGGGATCCAAACATAAGGCTGAAACCACACTCATGTGGACGGTCACTGCATTTAATGTCAGTGCAAAGAGTTACTGAAATGTCACCAAGAAGGCTCAGGATTTGCAATGTTGTACTATATTCTTTAAAAAAATTTATTTAAAGTATCACGGTGACATGCCTGTGATGCTCAATGAGCTCTTCTTGTTCTCTACAGGGACCTGTTGGACCTCCTGGGGATCCGGGCACAGTGGGCCTTCAAGGCTCAAAAGTAGGTTTATCATTTGAAGAGTTCATTTGTACAAACAGATAACTCCATCTTCACAGACCTTCACAAAACCCACTGTTCCATCGTCTACCTGAGACAACATCAATCAAACTGAAGTTATCTTTATTTTTGTCATTTCTACTGAGTCAAATCCACTCAGCTTCAGTTTGATTGATATGATCTCAACCAATACAGCAAAAAAAAAAAGGTTTCTGAAAATCTACAAAAATGGAGTTATCTGTTTATGCAAATGAACTCTTCATTTATACGTTCATGTGAATGAGTCACTTTGACGAAATGTTCTTCAGCCAAATCTGGAGAGGCTGTGAGAGGACGAATCACACCTCATCATTTCTGATGTTATGAGATTAGATCTTTGCAAATACGCTGTACGCTCTAATGTTTGTGGTGTCAGATTATGTTTCTGTTCTTGTGTCCCAGGGGGAGCTTGGAGCTCGTGGGCCTCTTGGAGAGCCTGTAAGTACAAATATAAACCTCTTAATATTTACAAGTTACATATATTTTACTGCTTTTTTTTTTTTACCACATCATCACACTTTATTTTTGATATCCTACACATACTCTATTGTATCCCGTGAAACTATACCGTTAACATACTGTAACATTGGTGCAACGTTTTTAAAATTGAAGAGAAGGGCTGCTGTAGGTAGGATTCTCCCAGCTGACGTCTACAGATTTTTATTCAGGAATCAGCCTCATCTTCACTTTTATGATCTACAATTCTATGACTTCTCTCTTACAGGGTGTGGGACCGGATGGGCTCGATGTGAGTACCTGTAACATCATGTTTTATACCATGTTTATGGACTCTCTGTAAACCAGTAATACAGTGGTTTGGTCTCACTTTCATGCACACGGATGCTGATTGTTACAGGAATAATAATAATGTCTCCTCAAAAACCAGCCTCCATTTGAAGGGAAAGTTATTTTTGTTCTGGCGTCAGTATCCTGACACCAGACAGACTGCTGCTGAAAACACACAATTCTGGATTGAAGAAAATAACATTTGGTGTTTGGATTCAGACGATTGCTCGAGGTGAAGATTTCTTTGCAGCATAGATCCCTGCTTTGACCAACTCCTGCTATTCTGTTATTAAAAACGAATCAATGGTGCAACGAGATGCAGTTTCTGAGCAAGGTATGCAAATAGAGGTGCAAAACATACGGAGTATCTGACGATGAATGCCAAATATATAACTAAGCTTAATGTGCTCAGGTCTCCGTACAGAATTACAGGAGGATTTGTGTAAGTGTGCAGTCGATTTAGGGAGTAAATTAACCCCAGACAGCTTCAGTTAATGGCTTCATCTGGTCTGTGAGAAAACCTGCTGAAGGTGTCACACCCCCCCCCGACCACATCTACTGCAGCAAGATGTGAATTTTAACCACTGGAGGATTTTCAGCTGAGGTGCTCTTTATTTTTCTGTATGTACACTGTATCATGTGATGCAGCACGGAGGGCAGTGTTACACAACCTGGTATCAAATATATACCTCATACCAATACTAGTGCTAGATTTACAGAATGGAGGCTAAAGGATTGTTTATGCAAGTTGGATTGTTTTTAACAGGGCATTCCCGGTACAGATGGGCTGCCTGGTGAGCTGGGAAAAGTTGGACCCCCTGTGAGTAAAAGAGTCACGTCTGGTTAATTAGCTATCTGAAAAATGTGTTGTTTTTAAATTCAAATAGCTTGATGTTCTTTTTTCTTTTTTAACCCTTGAAATAAAATGGCAATATGTTAAGTACAAAGAGAAAGACACGAACAAGTGCTGCTGCTGATTTATCTGTCGATAAAACAACGTTTTCCATGTCACAGGGAGCGAGAGGCAGAAGAGGTCAAGTTGGTCCTCCTGGTTCTGCAGGTCCTCGGGTAAATATCACAGCTTCTGTTAAACATTATTAAAATGAAAATGATCATCAAGTAAAAGTGCTCCCTGTGTTCCCAAAGAGGGAGGAGGACAGATGTATTCAGATAAAAGTGAGAGTCATGCGAGGCAGTTTTTAAGGCAAAACATTGGTGGATATCACCAGAGAAACAACTCAGAGGAGCTTTTTAGAAACATTTTCTGCTTCATGCTATTTTTTTTTATGAATAAATGTATTTACTTAAGCTCTTACACTTTTTCCTCTAGGGGCCTCCAGCTGTTTATCAAGGCGAGGACCTGGTAAGTAGATTAATTTCAACCCGGCTATATATAAAATCACAACATTACAAATAGTTTACATACCAGAGAAACGGGCAGACTACAATAGAAATAGCAATCGCCTGCATTTTAGCCAACCAGGCCAGCTCACAAGCGATAGAAGAAATAACTAATATATCATTAATATATAAAAATAGGCAAAAAACAAAAAACATGGCCGGCTAGCTGGCACATTTAAAAAAAAAAAAATAAAAAAAATTCTAACATTTTTGAAAATAATAATAATAATTGTAATTAATCAGCCGCTTTTAAACAAAAGAAGATTCAGTTCATTTCCATTGACTCTCGTGGCCGGTGTACTGAAATCAAACCGACAGCTGCCAAGAAATGTTTTCAAGGAAACGTTTTGCAGTAAATTGGTGAAACAAAAAGATGTTATTGGCTGATGCTCACTGGGTCGGGGGTCACTGTCAGTGGAGCCCCCTGGTGGTGGGGCTTTTCCATGACCTCAAATAGGCTGTTGTGTTTTTCAGTGTCCCAATGCCTGCCCCTCAGGTCTGCATGGGCATTCTGGTCTCCCTGGCATGAAAGTAAGTTAACCTTTATAGCCCTTCATTAATGTTGACTGTACCTGACTTATAAAAAAACACTTAATTTGTCCTTTTTGCTGCTGATTTTTAACGTTTACATTTTGCCTATAGGGCCACAAAGGTGTTAAGGGAGAATCTGGTGAGCCTGGAAGACAAGGACATAAGGTAATCTCATCATAAAGAGTTATTTTTTTTCAAAGATCAAAACACAGATAGCGAGATGTGTAATCCTGACGTAACTGGGCTCCGTCGTCTTTCAGGGTGAGGAGGGTGAACAAGGACTGCCTGGTGAAGTCGGAGCTCAAGGACTACCAGTAAAATATTTCACCATTCTCTCTCTCAGCTGGCTGTTACAGCAAAGAAACTTCATCCACATAGAAATGGCTCCGCACACTCAAACATGCTAACACTCCTCTATCTGCTGAGTGATTTTAGGGCCCAGGTGGAGCGAGAGGCCTCCCAGGAATATTGGGCGCCAAAGGCGACAGGGTAAGAGGTCGACACACCGCAGAGGATTGGATTCACACAACGTGAGAGTCAGACATTGAACCCACAGAACACAACATGAGAGGCTACTAACTGTGGACGGGAGCAAAGGAGGGAGTCTGATGACATTCAGCCACAAAGTCTGTTTAGGGAGGATGTTAGGGTGGATGGATGGATCATCAAATGTTGGACTGCTTGTTTCTTTAACCAGGAACACTCTATAGGCATAGTTTATTGTTGGATATTCTTTAAAACCCTGACAATTAGCTTTCGTGAAACCTAACCAAACCTTTACCATAGCATAGCATAGCATAGCATAGCATAGCATTATAAAAAAAGGTATAGATATGAATGCTGCTGCTGCTGGTAGCTTCTATTGTATTGTATTAAAAATGTAACGACAAATGACCTCTAGGGTTATTTTAGGTTAAATAACTTGACCAAATGAACATAACAACATAACAAAACATGATTACTGGAAGAATCTCACTTAATAATCTCTACATTTTAGTATTCTAACATGTTTTTACAAAAGGAAAGTAGAGCACAGCTTTTATACATACAGCACAAAATGGCTAACTAATCCAATCCAAGAAAATTTCAAATTAAAAGCTTCTAAAAGACGCACATGCTAATTATTGTCTCATCATTCGTAACACATGTCCAATCTAATGACTGCATCTATTCTGGAATAAGACCCATGTGCAGTTTTGATTTTAAAAAGTTAGCTTTTACTTTTCATTTTCCCAAACAGGGACCTCGTGGAAAGTCTGGTGATGGAGGCCCACGGGGAATCCAGGGAGGCCCAGTGAGTGGAAATCTTATTATCACCTCTGCCGAGCCCTCTTTGTTCTCATTAACATGTAATATTGATGAAAGTGTTTGGTTTTTTTCAGGGAGATCCAGGCCAAAGGGGAACCATAGGTGAGACCGGGCCAAGAGGAGTGCTGGTAAGATCATGAGTCAGACTCAACAATAGACATGTTTAGCTTTAAACACACAAGACGCTTACAGATTTGAGTCCTCGTGGCTTTTGCACCAAAAATACACCAAACAATATTTGTGAAGATTCAAGAAAATGAATGTTTATGTCACTGGATCGGCCTTAGCTTTGGATTCATAGCAAGAATTTTAGTTATACTGAAAATACAAATTTAATCTCCTCTACAAATGCTATTTCAAAGATGTCTCCATTCACATAGAATTCTTCTGGAAATACATTTATCCTGTCTAATATTATTATTTCAACATTGTCTGAGTTATTTTTTTCCCCTAAATTCAAATTTTAAGATAATAAATCTAGAATATGTATTAAATATCTGTTTGTCGCCTCCTATGTTGTGTCTTTTATTTTGAAGTCATCAGTTTATCTTATTATTGCGTCATAAATCAAGGCTGAATGTTGCTTCACAGGGCGACCAAGGTCCAGGAGGAATCAGAGGACTGCCCGGGCCCAAAGGAGAACCTGTGAGCGCTGCTTCGTCTCTGTCTTCTTCATCTCCCTGCCAGCTTACTGTCCTGCAATTTTTCCCTTTTCAAGCCGTCTATCATCTGTCAGTATCACACTAATGTTTCCTTTCCTACCTGCATCCTAACTCCCCGCCTGTCCATCTTTCTCCATTCACATTGCATGCTTATCATATTATACTATTAAATTGCTGTTCCTTATATACTATATTTAAACAGATTTTGTCCAAACTCTTCATAGAGCCTTACCTTACCCAGCATTACCCTCCTACCGTTTTAACCTAGTGTGTCACTTTTATTTAAATGTGCATCTGGTATTACAAGTGATAAACTTCGTGTTGAGCATCTCATTGTTCCCTCTCTTGCCAACAGGGCCTTTCTGGTCCAGACGGTCGAGAGGGAATACCTGGCCTGCCGGGCTCAAAGGTAACTGCTGCCTGATTTTGAACACAGAAACAACCGAAGGCTTTGACAGGTGTAGATAAAAAACTCTGCTGTCAGAATTTAGAGAGGTTCATTGTGTTTTGGTGTTTTCAGGGTCTTCCAGGAAAAAATGGGGCTCCAGGTGATGCTGGCCTACAGGGACTTCCTGTAAGTGACCTCTGACCCCCTGATTCATCATATCAGCAGTTTAACGTCTGAGATGTTGATGTTTGGTTCCATTTCCTAAATGTAGGGTTTGCCAGGTGCTTACGGCCAAAAAGGACATGGTGGTCTAAAGGTATGATCAAACCTCTACAATTTCCACTGAGCCACATCTAGACCACTTTGTAAAATGCACTTGTGTTGTTCTGTTTCTGTCTCCAGGGTAACACAGGGGATCCAGGAGTTGTAGGACTGATGGGGTCTCCAGGGAAACAAGTAAGTTTAAAGCAGTCTGAAGCACACTTATCATTATACAATAAAGTTCGCTCAGCGAGATGTAACGTCACCAGTAGCTCAGACGATGACCTGATCTGATGTCGTATTTGCTTCCAGGGCGAGCGTGGCGAGCAGGGAGAGGTGGGACCGGTCGGACCCAGAGGAGGACCAGTGAGTCTGAACTCCATCTTCCTTGCTTTTCACTTTAAAGCTCCAAGATACAGTTTTCCCAAATTGAAACAGGAACCACATGGCCAGTCCCACCCTCCTCCCCTTCACTTCCGGTTCTGATGAACGTCTGATAACCTCGGCCCTGACTGTTTGACTCCTGGGACACAGAGCGACTGTGATAGCAGCACACAGTCAGCTGCTGCTCATGCCCATATCACACACCCACAGGACAACACGTGCAGGAGAGTTTAAAAACAAGTGGAAAGACAGTTCAGAAATAGCCTGAGTAGATTACCTGAAGCTGATGAGGTCTAAGAGAACATTTGTCTAAAGAGCTATCTAATGACTTGGTGAGATGCTATCATATGATGCATATTTCGACAAAAGACAAAACAGACTGGAGCAGGACGATAAACCTGATGAATGAGAGAAACAGTTCAGCACTTCTGTAGATTCTACATTACACTCCTGCACCATCTACACGATCAATACAACAGTTGCTAATACCTGCACATAAAACGCTGTATGTAACTGCTACATAAAGGCCATGTAAACACTTAGGATCCTATTAATATATTAATACTAAATGCATTTTTACCTCAACCTAAAAGCCACAGACTTAAACACTGATCAATTTATTGATAGTTAAAATATTCATCTTAATGGATTTCAAAGGTACATTTAATTTTTAATGCATTTATTTATTTATTATCACATGTAGTAGAAATAACTACATTACTGCAATATTTCGTACATAATAAACCACACTTTACAACAATAATTAAATCGGCTCACAATATTAAAACTCTCTGAAAACCAATAAGATATAAAAATGTGTTGGATGTCTGTCAGTTTCATTTTAACACGTTTCTGTCTGTAGTTCCAGGTTTCACTTTGGCTCTTTTCTGTTTCAGGGTGGACGAGGCGAGCGGGGACCCGACGGGCCTCCAGGACCGCCAGGAGCCAGGGTAAGACCTGACAGAAAGTCTGGTAAATGTGAAAAACATAATCTCTGAACCAATGACTGGGATCGTCAGAGAAGGAAACCACCCCAGAGGTACTGGACAGAAGAAGGAGGTGAATGAAGATTCTGGCGAGTGTTGGTTTCACTGAACCATCTGTGGAATCTGTTTATCTGCTGCATTCGTAGGCAGCTGGGCTTTTCCAGTTCAGAGATGGGCCTCCCCTGGTCCCCCAAAGTGGTTTTAGGGGAGAATATGTGAATGGTAGTGAAAAATATTACATTACATGAGTTATCAGAAGGATAGTGTTAGCCTTAAAGAGGTTTTTTCCCCTGCTTGTACAGCAGAAATGTAAAATTGCCTTTGACCCGTTTAAAGTATTTTGTGTAGTTCAAAGCAGCAATATTATCCTGTCTTGGCACAGTTGTTGTATGAGATCAAATAACATAATCACGATCCTATAGGCATCCAGGAGTTGAGCAAAGCTTTGACTGATTAGAGGCCCACAGCTTCGGAGTTTGAAAGCACTGGTTTATTAATCTCAAAATGAAACTGGATGAAGTTAAAAGTAGACCTGACTCAAGCAATATTGGCTGTGGTGAAAGTCAGCAGGATGGATTATGTGAGCGTGACGTGAACAAAAGGACATTTTGTGCATGAAATAAAGGGGGGAAAATACGAACTTGAACAGTCAGTTTCACACAAAATACATTTTACTCAGTCTAAATATAAACCAGCTTGAGTACATCTTTTCACAATCTGGAAAAAAGCTACAGGTTGTATACACAGATACTGTTGACATGTGAGTCAGTTAGTCAGATTATGCCAGACTGACATCTGACGTACATCCACAGATAGAAACACAGGTTAAAATAATAAACATCATTGTGTCTATAATGATAAAGTTGAGGTTAGCTTTGGGTGTTGTTTGGAAAATACTTCTATGTGGGTTCATAAATGACTTTGCAATGTAATTTAAGACTGTGGACCCCAGGAAGACTAGCAACCAGTGTGGTGGTAATGCAAATCCAAACAGACAAATAAATAAACAAAGATAGGTCTGACCTAAACATGTCCACCAGTAGAGAACTTCTCAATAATAGTGTGGTCTGACAACAAAGCCCTGTGGCACCCCAAACAGCTAGAAGTGAAAGAAATTAGGTGTTGGATCACCACTGCAGCAAAACTTCACAGCATAGCTTGACTGATGTTGGATTTTTCTGACAGATGCACACAGAATATAAGCAGGCAGTCTTGACATACATATATATCTATGATTTCTATGTCTGTAATAGTGGCTAAGTATCTGAATGACCTTGCACATTGTTTGGCATTTTGCTCCAGCGATGTCTTTTTAGGTATCAACAGACATAACATAAAGCAGGGATCTCCAGCTCCGGTCCTTGTGAGCTACTGTCCTGCAGGTTTTAGATGTTACTGCAACACACCTGACTCAGATCATTAACAGACTTGTGTAGAACTTGACAACAAGCTGTTGGAGATCCATTAATGTGAGTCAGGTGTGTTGCAGTATGAAACGTCTAAACCCTGCAGGACAGTAGCTCGCGAGGACCAGAGCTGGAGATCCCTGATATAAAGCAATATATCTGCAATAAGGTAATATAGTCTAATATGTGGGTCTAACTCTAATTTACGGTAATAAAGACTGAATCCTGTCAGTGTAACATATAAAAATGCTAACATCCTCTAAGGGTGTGGCATTACACTTCTTCCGGTCTTATGTTAAGTTAACAGAAGAATAAGTCAAATTTTGATTAATCTCCTTGCATAAAAATACAAAGTGTTGTGCTGCTTCTAATATCACCTGCTGGTCGACAGACAAACCAGCTTATCAGGGTTAAAAGCAATGCTTTATGCTGGAACTAACTAAAGCTGAGAGAAAAACAACAGGATTATAATAATAGTGTTGTGGGAAAGGTCACGGATGAAAAGGAGACTAATTGAGAATCAGTACAGGAAACGTTCAGATGAAGGTAAAGTCAGCCAGGCAGAAAATATTTTAAAAGTTGCACCCTGTGAAAAACACAATAATTTCCTCGATTGGACTTGACGGTTCTCAGGCAAAGTGCCAGCTGATCCTCAGAAAAACACAATCATCTTATCCTGAACGTATTATTCAACACGGAAATAATTGAAGGTAAACCGTGTATCTTGCTCAGACATCCACTGCCGGGAAGTGGAGTCATGTTTTGTGTTTTATTAAACAGTCGAAGCTCTTTATGAACTCCTGTCCCTGCAGTTAAGTCTCTAATCCACTGGCCATCGGGCATGAATGGTCTCTTGTTACAGGTTTTTTTTCTGCAGCTCAGGGGGGATTCAGGGCAGGAAAAGAAGCTGAGAAGCCCTGAAAGAAATCTCTGTTCCCCAGGAATGCCCACATACCCACATACACCCTGACACATCTGAGGGAGGGAGGGCGGATGGTTGGTCGGGTGGCGGGTGGAGGGGTCCAGGGCGAGCCTCACAGATGATGTGAAGCTGAAAATGTTTTTTATTTTTTTCTCGAGATATGGTTAAGGGGGAGGAAACTTCTCTGAGCTGCACACAGTCTGTTCTGTGTCGTGATTCTTCCTGTGCGTGTGGATTTAACAGTTTATGCCTGTACGTGTGGGCGTTTTAATAGGGAGGCAAAGGGGATCCAGGACTTCCAGGACTGCCAGGCCCTGCTGGTTATCGTGGCCAGAAGGGAGACAGGGTGAGTAAGAGACACGAAGTGGCACAAGACACAGATTAAATCTAAAGTGAAGCCATGTGAACACAACGGCTCATGTCACATGTATCCCAGATGTGCTCCCTGACTCTACTGATAAACTGGTGTTGTGTTGTCAGTGTGGTTGGATTTGGGAGGAGTTATGGTGTCATACAGGTCCAAACTGTCCTCTGTAAAGTGGACGCACAGTGGACAGAACATGTTAATCATCTGTATCTCACACACAGCAGAGACAAAGCCACCTCAGCCAATCTGATTGGTCAACAGCAGCAAATCCTTTAATTTAACTTACTGCAGGACTTTTTGGTGTAACTGGTACAAAGTGAGCAGACTAAACGAGGCATCCAATGAGATCCAAGTCTGGTTTGATGTGTTTACTGGTAGTCTAAAATAACCAGAGCAGAGCTTTAGACAGCTTAATATAAAACCTTAGAACTGATTAAGAACATGAAGAATTGCTTTAGATTACTTTGCAAGTGCAAGCACGCAAATAAACGACGTTGCAGAAGAAGCGTTCATACAAGATGTATGATAATAAATATATCAAATGTCGAGGTGTCTCTGGTTGTCGTGGGCCGATGAAGAATGATCTGATTTGGCTTTATGCAGCTTTATAGTGAGATTCAGCTCATTGTTTAACTATCTCAGGAGTTAGTAAAGACAACAAGCACCAAAGAAGTTCAGTTTACTGTCACAAAAGAGTAAAGACACCAGAAAATATTCACATTAAAAGAGTTGGATTCAGAGAATGTGGTCATTTTAATCAATTACAAAAATTATTGGTCAATAATGTAATAATTGACAACTAATTGATTAATGGATTAATTGTTCCTGTGAAGTTCAGGAGGAGGAGCCCGACACAAGTTTCATTTCCAAAGTTTAGGTCAGTTTGAACAATTAGAGGTTATAAAAACATCAAAAACCAGCAATTTGCTTTAACTTAACCACAAATCTATGAAATGAAAAACGTCCTTCAGAAATTAGTGCCGACGCTGCAGATTTATCTCTGTTGTCAAAATAAAGACGTTCTTTCTTTTCCCAGGGTGCAGTTGGTCTTGATGGTCCAAAGGGAGACCAGGTAAAGTGAATAAGTTTTAATATTACACAGATGACACGAGGGCTGAGCTAAATTAGATTAAATGCTACAGATCTGTCCTTGTTCTGTGTTTTAGGGACCTGCAGGAGCTGAAGGAACACCAGGAGACAGAGGAGACTGGGTGAGTGGTCGATCACTGAGGCAACAGCTCACAGGGCGATTAGCTGTGGAAAGTTCACATGAGCTTTGAAGATGTAATAATCAGTCGCAGCAGAGCGACGTGGCCTATTTATCTATAAAAACCTGGTATGAATGACTATAGACTTGGCTGTCCACTCACATATCTTTTTCCTTTCAGGGTGATCAAGGAGAACCAGGAGAGAAAGGATCGGTATGTTCACCTAAAGCTGACTTTGTGCATTCAGATAAGAAGGCCTAAATGTTTTTCTGACAGCAGCACCTTTGTTTCCCGTGTCCTGCGGCTCATTAGAGAGCATAATCAGCTGCTCGTTTGTTTACGCGTTTTAACTGAAAAGCAGCTCCAGAAGATTATGATTTGCCACCAAAGGTTAAAGCTGCTTGATCAAAGTTTTGCAAGTTAAATGCTCCAAGTGAGGTCTGGATTTTGTCCCAGCCTCAGTAGAAAGCAGTGCAACAGAATTCCAAACAAGCAAGTTGTGAAGAACACCTTTTCCTTCTTGTTTGTAATTCTGCCCGTCCCTTTGAGTACATTTACACATAAATAAATACCGACTCTGCTCTTTTAGCGGCTTGCCATGTCTCACATCTCATGACAGGCCGACAAAAGAGCAAAATAGATGTTTAGATTTGGTTCACTGACAATTTCCTGGTCTGTTTGCTGATTTGATTGCAGTCAGGCCCACCAGGAGAGACGGGAAACAAAGGGCCCGAGGGTGGCCGAGGGCAGCCGGGCAAAGAGGGCAAGCCGGGCCAACCAGGACCACGAGGCATGCAGGGTGATATGGGAGTGCCAGGCCTGCCGGGGGCACAGGGACCAGCGGTGAGACGTTCCTTCTCTGAATGACTCGCTTTAGAGCTGCACAGTCTGTTCCCTCAACTGAAGACAACTCAGGGTGTTTTGTACAAGAGGCAAATTTTCAATTAATAAATAGAGAAATACCGTATTGATCCCCAAGTGGACATTCTGTAAAATAATTTGCAAAAAAATAAGAAAAAGAAAGAACATGACACTCAAAATGATCACAGTTTAACACACAGTATGCAACATCAGGGAGTGTTTTTAATGCAACACAAGACTCATGAAACTGTTTGTTTTTCTGAGGCGACAGGATCACATTGCCTGTAGCTTTTACCTGAAGAAGAACAAATGTCCAATCACTGTGAACAATCTTTGCTTGTGCAGGGAAAATCACCAACAGATACGCACATCAAACAAGTCTGCATGAGGGTGATGCAAGGTAAGTGTCACATCAGCTGTAAGTTAATTATGTTTCTGTAATTTGAGTGAAATTACCTTTAACAACAATCTGACTTTCAATCAAAACTCTCTCGGTGTTCGGATATATTTTTGGGTTTTTGATCTAACATCTAACATTAATTCTGCTGATCGATGCTCTGACATCATGTAAGGACTAAAACACAAACCATGTTCTCCTGCATCACAGAGCAGCTGGCCCAGCTAGCAGCCAGCCTGAGCAGGCCTGAGTCAGGCATCTCTGGGCTCCCCGGTCCTCCAGGCCCACCTGGACCTCCAGGACCCTCCGGAGAGAACGGTTTCCCCGGCCACGCAGGATCACGAGGTCTACCTGGTCTGAAGGGTCCACCTGGGGTAATGGGTCGCAAAGGACCTAAAGGTGAGCTCCAGATGGGCAGTTCTGCGACCATTTGCATTTGTGACTAGAAGGTTTCTTTATCTGCAAGGTGGATCAGTGGTGAGCACTGTTGCCTCGCAGCAAGAAGGTCGCCGGTTCACGTCCCAGTGAGGACACCTGGGATCTGTCTGGTAAATGAGCAATGAACCCTCGCCAGCCAGTGACAGCCGACTGTAGACGTGTCCTCAGTAACTATGACAGTGATGAAGCACACAATGAAACATGGACGTAGCAGACTGCATGTGATGCTGCACTGAGGCGGCTGAAGGACAGACTCTGGGTTTATTGCTCGCTTCCATCTCTGTTCGTTGTTTTCAGTCAGACAATCTAAATTCAACAAACAGGTCAGAGTGGAGCTGCAGCAGGACGAGTACCTGACAAGTTCTTCTACACTAAACTACACTTGTCGAGAAGCTTTTCTGAGATGCAGTGGTCAGAGGAGAGAAAGCAGCTCTCGTGCACCCATGTCCTGATTTAAAGGTGCCTTCGGGTGTTTTCTTGTAAACAATCAAAGTTTCTATTTAAATGCAGTGTTTCTCTGCAAACCTTTACTGACGTCTAACAAACCTGTAGAATGTGTGTCCTGCCTCATAAAACACTTGTAAAGCCATTTTTTCAAACTTGCAATGCAGAACTTTTGTCTCCCCCTTCTGGCAGTGAGAGTAATTACACAAACGCTGTTGAAGGCATGCATCTGTAATCCTTCCCTCTGATTTCTAAGTTTCATTTTTATTGGGAGTTTTAGAGACTTTTCTTGGATGCTGTCTCAGGTTTTCACCAAAAGCTCTGCAGCAGTCCCAGTTGCCTGATGTGTATCATTAAAGTTGCTCCAGCAATCCAGTAATTGCTGGTTAATGTAAAATATATTGTTACTGCTCGTGCACCAGTGTGGGAATGTCGCTACAGAAACTAGATTTAAAACTCCAGTCTGCAGTGAAATACTCCACACTTTGTGCAGTAGTGTGAAACCAGGAGTGTGCGTCGCAGGTACATGTACGTCCTCATGTGTCTGTACAAGCTCAAACAAAACATGGAACTACAAGCAAATGCATGATTCCAAAGCTTCCAAGCTCTGCTAGCGGTCAACAACTCTTCAAAGGATATCATTCAGGCCTAACACTATGTAGATGATGTGGTACACAGTTGAGAAGCAGCACAGAAGCTCTGGGATATGCAAAGAGTTTGTACTTCTCATAATACAAATCTGTCCATCTTCAGGCTGCAAACATCAAAGTCTTAAAATTAATTGATTGTCAAAGTGATCTCTCTCCTCCTTTTTGATGCTGCTGTGACCCACTTCCCCTCAGGAATCAATCATCTTAATGCTAATGAGAGAGCAGATGAGGTGTGAAGTCTGAGCTTGAACTTCCTGCTAAATATAGTAACTTCAATTATGCGTTTCCTCTCGGTGATAATTACTTTTCCTCTCCGCAGGTGACCAGGGTGACAGAGGGGACAAAGGACCCACAACGAGGGGACCCAAAGGAGCACCAGGTGTCCCTGGTCTACCAGGTAAATGACAAGATATCTGGTTTTAGAATAAATGTCCTCGATTTCTGACGCTGGTGCATGCCAATCAAGCATCATTCTGTGAAACTTGTGTCAGACGAGCAAAGCAGAAAGATGGCTATGGCACATTCAGGTGACAAAACTGAGTTGGTTTGGGGTGAACTCAGAGGGCACAACAACACTAAGATCTTCAAGCATGAGTCCCTGGTTCCTTCTGGGTCGTTCCGCTTCTCTCTTTCCTCACAGTTTCTGTGTGTCTACGTAGTCACTGTGTAATCAATCATTAATGCCAAAAATATGATCTTAAAACTGTAAAGGTTCTCCTCCCTCACCTCTGATACAACTCCATGTAATACCAGAGTAATGAAGCCCTGCAGACAACAAGTGATGAATGTTTCATTGTTTCTCACTTCGGTGTCAGCAGAGATCACCTTTCATAAAACATCTGGGATGCTCCGTTGTTTAGAGAATAGCAGGCGACTGAATCACCAGCAGTTTTCATTACAAGTGACTATGTCTTCAAATTAATTTATCTTTAAACAGACGTTTAAAAAAAAGGAAATGAATGCGATAACGATGCTCTGACACGTTGCTGCATTACTGCCTAAATGAACTTTTACGGCTCAGTATTGTCTTAATTTTTTTGATACTGATATTGATATGAGGGCTGCAGGTAGATCGGTGGTTAGCATCGTCACCTCACAGCAAGGAGGTCGCCGGTTCGCATCCCGGTGAGGACACCCGGGAGTCTCCATGTTCTCCCCGTGCAGCGTGGGTTCTCTCCGGGTTCTCCGGCTTCCTCCCACAGTCCAGAAACATGCTGAGGTTAATTGGTGATTGTAAATTGTCTATAGGTGTGAATGTGAGTGTGCTTGGTTGTCTGTCTCTAAGTGTAGCCCTGTGATAGACTGGTTACCTGTCCAGGTGAACCTGCCTTCACCCTGAGTCAGCTGGGATAGACTCCAGCCCCCCATGCGGTGCGTAGATGATGGATGGAGGGATGTTGATATGCTACCTGAGTTTTGATGCATCAACAAAAACATGAAGCCAAAGTTAAACGCTGTCTAAATGCAGCCATCTGAGTTTCATATGAAGGCCTACAATTGTCAACACCGTTTACAAAAGCCGATATTCTACAAGCTCATACTGGAAACTTGAATATTTTAGGTTTCCACGTAGTTTGCGTGCTGCTGGCTGTGCTCACAGTCTCTGCCAACCACAATGAACTGTTGTAAAGTGACTGAGTTAGTGTAACTGGGCGGCTGTGGCTCAGGTGGTAGAGCGGGTCGGAAGGTCGGCGGTTCGATTCCCCCCTGTAACCTGTGTCATGGTCGTTGACAGGGCAAGACACTTCACCACCTCACCTGGTGTGAATGAATGGATTGTTTGAGGTGGTGGTCGGAGGGGCAGAATGGCAGCCACGCCTCTGTCAGTCTGCCCCGGGGCAACTATCACCACTGGAATGAATGTGTGTGAATGTAAAACGACTTTGAGTGTCTAGAAAAGCGCTGCATAGATCTGATCTGTTAATACTCACTGATAAGTATGAATAGTCACGTGACTCAGACTAACCAGACTTTATAGACGGGCTGATGGATGATGTGTTGATGATCAGAAGCTTTCCTGTGAGTGCAGAACAGCTGCCTGGTAAGTATTTTGAACTCTTGCAGAAAACTGTGCCTGCTCAACGGCTTCTCTTCCTGCAGGCGAGCCCGGTCGACCGGCTTACGGCTCAGACGGCCGTGACGGAGAGAGGGGCCCTCGCGGCGTTCCCGGTATTCCCGGCGTTCCCGGGCCTCCCGGTACCCCCGGCCTGAACGGTTACTGCGAGTCGTCACAGTGCATCCTGCCGATGGTGGCGTCGCCAGTTTCAGCCAAGGACTCCGGCATGAAGGGCCCCAATGAGATGTGAGGAGCTGGACTGGAGGAGAACTGATGGACTGGAGGACAAAGCAGAAGATTTGTCCGTTTGGGTTTTGTCACTTGGTTTGTATGTTTTATTTTGTGATTGGGTCACGTTAACTTCTCAAGCAACTTTTGTGGTCATTAATCGATGTCGAGGTGGACACTGAGCAATCAGCTTTTGAAATTCCTTCACGTAAAATAAGTTCTGTTTTACCTCACTTTCGCCATCTCTGTACTGTAAAATCTAAAGGAGTTTTTTTTGTTTTTTGGGAACTGAAGAACTCGCTGTGCATGTACAAACCTTCCAGCCCCCGTTTCTGTCCAAGCAAAAAGGCAAGAAGTTTCTCTGTATGTTTCTGTAAATGTGTCAATATGCAAATTATACTGCTGGATAACGTACATTTGTTTGTGAGTATCTTTGCTGTTTATCCACTTGGATGCCCTTTTTCCTCTAAATGTGGGATGTGTTTGATAATTTCTGTCACGACGACCTGTTGTTTCTGTGACCGGAGGGCGGCGATGTGTGAAAACCTCTCTGGCAGTTTTATATGACTTCTTATTTATTATAACAGGCTTGGACGTGACATCTTCAAGTTGTACAAAGGAGGAAATAAACAGATTTTGATAACCTCTTGCATGTTTTATATGGATGAGTACAGTCAAAAACAAACACTTAAGAAAGGGATTAAACCTGAGTTACTGTGACCCACAGACTGAAGGTGTTTCTTCCTCCAACAGACTCGACGGTCAGTCCTGGTGTGACCATGAGACGGAATCAGCCGTCACAAACCAACGTGTTCACCAAACTTCTTAGACTGTTATTAAATTTTAAATCTTCTGTTGGTTTATGATTGCAAATCATTAATATTTCACCTACAAATTTCCCAGTTTTGCATTTAGAAAAGGCCCCCGTCAGGTTTAAAACTACTTCTGTATTCATCTAACATTAGCCTGTTTAATCCAAAATCAATACAAAGTTTTGACCTTTAGCAAATTCTGTGCGTTATAAATTCTCACATTCTGATTGTGATTCACTGACCCACTTAAATTTGACAGTGAACAGATACAAGGCTGTTCTGAGTGATCGCCTTTATCTCACCATGATGGGAGAGATCTCTTCCAGGATGACA